TAAGATTAAACAGATTCATTTTTTGTATTGGATGGACTTTTTTCGTTTTTAAATCAGAGCAAAAGCTAGATACTTTTTAAGCAGGGCACTGCTCAGACTTCTGCTATCTTGATATTTCTACTCCTGAATTTCCTTCAGTAGGTTGAAAAGGTTAACCAGAGTGTGTCTCTTTAAGACTTCTTTTTTATTACCTGGTTTTCTTTCCTTTTTTTTTTTTTTTTTTTTTTTTTTTTTTGAGAACAAAACTCAAAGGGAAAAAGGCGTAGGTATGCAGTTACTAGTAAAGAAATACAATTGGATTCTGGCCTAATGCAGTCAGTCCTTTGTTTCTTTACACTGAAGTCTTCATTAAAACCATGGAACTGCTCCCTGGAGCTGGTGACCTTTTTGTATCTAAAGAAGACTTTACACGACTTAAATTCTTTTTCCTTTGTTGGTGAACAATGTTCTTTTCTTCTGTAAATGGATGATGATCAGTTCATTCTGAGGCTACAGGATTTTAAAAAAAATAATAGGAAACCAAGATTTAAAGTGATTTCAGGTGATTCCCTCTTTCTTGGCACAGGGGGACCTTAATCAACGTCTTCAGGATTTGAAATTCACATGTAGCTCTGAGCACACCAAGCAACAGCAGTGTGGCCAGCCACTGTGCAGTGTATATTTTAAGAGAGGAAAGTTTCCTGGTTTGGGACAAGATTAGGATGAAGTATTGTGCTTTGCCCTGCTAGTTTGTAACTCCCCATGCAGTTTTTGTCTTGGTCCCAGGTCGTTTTACATGTCTGAAGGTTAGTGGATAGAGTTTCTTTTTGAAATAATGAGAGGCTTGTCTTCCAGAAGTTTATACGAAAGGTCTAGGAAGACTGCAATTTTCAGTCTTGCAGTACTGCTGAGGGATTATCAATTTACTGCACTAATGCTTTGATTCAGAATGGCCATTTTTAGGTCACATGGTTTTTTCATTGTCATCATTATCATTGTTGCTGTTTTGAGACAGAGTCTTGCTCTGTCGCCCAGGTGAGCGCAGTGGCGTGATCTCGGCTCACTGTAACCTCTGCCTCCTAGGTTCAAACGATTCTCCTGTCTCAGCCTCCTGAGTAACTGGGATTACAGGAACACCCCACCCTGCCTGGCTAATTTTTGTATTTTTAATAGAGATGGGGTTTTGCCATGTTGATCAGGCTGGTCTTGAACTCCTACCTCAGGTGATCCACCTGCCTCAGCCTCCCAAAGTGCTGGGATTATAGGTGTGAGCCACCACGCCCGGCTTGGTCACATGTTTACTATCAACTTGTCTTATGTTAGTAATGAGGACAAAATTTTACTACTCACTACGGCGCAAGGATTTTTAAAAAGTATGAACTTTAAACCCTAATGAGAAACAGGTTTGATTTAGTGCTTCATTTAAAATAATATCTCGAACAGAGCATTGGTTTCGCTAACTATGGAGGTTAAAATAAAACTCGTATTAAATGACATTTTAAAATATGTACCATCAAAAGATATGTACTTAGGCTAATAAATCTTGTATATTTTACATGAAGATTGTATGTCCTACCATAAATCCCTACTCTGAAATATTCTACCTGCAAACGTTTTTATAACACTTACTTATAAGATTAGTTTATTTACTTCATTACATGGAGGAGGGTACTTTAAATGATAATATCTATCAGAAATGATAATTAATTTGACTCTTATCTGCTCTTGCAGTATGTGACTATTATGAGCACTTTTATTATCTTTTGAAGATAATATAATGGTTTCTTGTTGGGCAAGTAGATGAAAGTAGAATGAGTAGAAACCAAAATGAACACCACGTGTAGAACACATTGGCAGATTAAAACACATTGTTAACAAATTACCTGCTGGTTTTAAAGAAAAATATAGCTTCAATCAGTTAATGTTTCATTAAATCATTCTCATTCAGCAAGTTTTGATTGAAATTTTACTCATGAAATATATATTTGGCATGTCATAACAAAGAGAAATATTCTTATTTGCTAAACCTTTTTCTCCTGTGTAATGCTGCCAAAGAAACATAAATAATTACTTAATATTTTTCTTTAAAACGACAGTGTGGATTTAAACAGAAACGCTATGGCAGTGGGAATTGCTTAAACTCAAATTTAGGCTTTTTTAACCAAGAAAAGCCAGAATGGATGGTTGGTGATAATTAGCAGAGCCTCCATAGGTCCTGCAGAGGATCTGAGGTCAGAGCTTAGAGCTCAGCCTAAAGCAGCTACAGACATCGTTGGCTCAAATCGAGAAACTCAAGGTCCTGTGAAGAATCACACTTCAGTCCTTCCCCCTGGTCTTTGGAGGGATTCATCGTTTCAAGGGGTTTCCCTTCTAAAGGAAAGACAGTAAGGAAGGTGACAGGCAAGGGGCCCTGGATTATGGAAGACAGGATGACTAGGCTTGAATTGTACACTCGTATGCCTGTTCTTTTGATCCTCCAAAACTACTATTCCGAAATGTGCTAATACTGTGAGCCCTTTGATCCCTCAACAGAGGCAGAATGATCAGTCTTTAAAATGCAAAAAAAGTTGTTCATAGATTAGCTTAGGTATCATCTCTCTAGAGCATACCATGAAAACCTAGGCAGACACTCAGTCAAACCCTAGACCTGGTAATGGGTGTGATTTTTCTCTGGGAGAGGAACCTGAAGGAAAAAATGTTCAGGTAGCATAGGCTGTCCTAGACAAGGTAATAGACTTGTTAATATAAGCAAAGGACTGCTTCTCACAGCTCTAAATGGGCTCAAAGCCCATTTCTTAACCCATTCCCCTCTTAGCCCCTTTATCTGCTCAAATGCATATCCACAAAGAGTCTCTGGGTTTTGGCCACTGAATGGAATTGTACCCTCAGTTTTGGGCCTTGTGAGGAGGAGAAGGAGCATCAAAGAGAGAAAGAAAGGGTGAGTTGCAGCCACCCCTCTCCTGGTCGCATGGTTTCTGTCAACTTCATTTAAAGGAGAAATTACCTAGCTAGTTGGAATCTTAGAGTTGATAATTACAAAGGTAAGTCAAGTTTTTATTTCAGTCTGAAATAACCAGAATGATGGTTATTCCCCTCACAAGAAAGTCTCACCATTGTGTAGATGGTTGTTCAGGTTTTGGTCTTCAATTGGGTACTTTTAAGAAAGGCCTTACTTAGGACTCTTGAAATTTTTCGGTTCCATTCCGTAATTTGGAAACATCCTGTGACCAGTGACTTTTTGGTGCTTTTGTGGGGATACTGGCCACTTTATCAGCTTTGTACAAACCAAGTGACCATTTTACCATCTTTTCCATTTTTGCATTTTGCTGAGGACTTATGTTTTTGGTGGTACCCTGTCTGCCTTCTACATCCATTTCTTTCTCACCAGCCTAAAACAGAGACAATAGGGAAAGGGATGAGAGCCTCCTTATCATTCTTCTTCATGGCTGGAGAAAAAAGAAGTCTGCCTCCTTCATCTCTCTTCCCTGGCTTTTGAGAAGGAACAGTCCAGCCCCAAGACCGGGGAGATTTGAGGCCAGTGGTTCCTGTGAAAGAGTCTCACCTTCTTGTGTTCCCACATCCGTGCATCCCCTTGTTCTGCCCTCATCCTTGAAAGCAGTTGATTGCGCTCCTATATCCTTATGGCCTGGCTTATTAGAGCCTTTCAGAAGAAAACTTTTTTTTTTTTAAAGATGGAGTCTTGCTCTGTTGCCCAGGCTGGAGTGCAATGGCACTATCTTGGCTCACTGCAACCTCCAGCTTCCAGGTTCCAGAGATTCTCCTGCCTCAGCCTCCCAAATAGCTGGGATTACAGGAGCCTGCCACCACACCCAGCTACCAGAAGAAAACTTTCACACAGCCTACGTAAGCTTATGTGCAAGATTCTCTCTTGAAACTCAGGAAGAGGCTGATATTCCAAGAGTTATTTAATTGTGGGCTCCTCCTGAAGCGGATGAATAGGAACAGCCATTTAAATTGATGTAATTTTATTATGACCTTCTTCATAATGGGTTTCAGGCTCCCCTGTTCTTGTAGTTAATAATGAGCTTCTGTGAGCCGGGTAAACTTGATGCACAGATGAGGTAATGTGGGGATTCACTGATGCAAAATCAGATGCAGTCCCTTCATAAGTAGAGGCGCCTCTGGCCCCAATAGTTTAGATCTCCTTTGGACAAAAAAAAAGGGATGTCCCATTCTGACATTGGCGAGATTCTTTTTTTCTTTTTAAGACAGAGTTTCGTTCTTGTTGCCCAGTCTGGAGTACAATGGTGCAATCTCGGCTCACTGCAACCTCCGCCTCCCAAGTTCAAGCAATTCACCTGCCTCAGCCTCACAAGTAGCTGAGATTATAGGAATGCATGACCACGCCCGGCTAATTTTTGTACTTTTAGTAGAGACAGAGTTTCTCCATGTTGGTCAGGCTAGTCTTGAACTCCTGACCTCAGGTGATCACCTGCCTCGGCCTCCCAAAATGCTGGAATTATAGGCATGAGACACTGCACGTGGCGAGAGATTTTAATCCTGGAAAACTGTTTTGCCGATGGGGAAAATAATCCTAATTTATTCTTTAGTGCAAATTGGAAAATACTTGATAATTTTGCTTAGAAGCACAAACTTTAATCATGCTGTTAGTGTTTTCCAGTATTACATGATTGATAGTTAATTTCTATGGCTCTCTTGATATAGACTTCCTCAAATAATTATACCCTTGTATTTCATGTTAAGCTAATATTACCAGGAAAGCAGTTTTAAACATCAGGCCTGTCTTTTTCATTTTCTTCTCAAGATAGCACATTGCAACAGTTCTGTTAGTGTTCAGTGGTCTGGAAGGTATTTTGGAGCATGCTTTGTACAGTAGAAAATTAATAGATTTGTTGTTTTGTAAACAGACATTTGTAATGCTATAATTAATGATTATCATGAATTTTATTTTTTTCTATCTTTATTCTGTTGTTGATGTTAGCATTGGAATAAAATGAAAAGAGGCTGTGGTAATGACCTTGACTGTTTTGGGCACTTAGGAACCTGTTTTGTTCACTGGAACAATGAGGAAAAACCTGGATCCCTTTAATGAGCACACGGATGAGGAACTATGGAATGCCTTACAAGAGGTAATTGATAAAATGTAATTATCTTTAATCTGTTAGCCTCAATATATGTACCTTTACAGCACTGAAGGAAATCAAGGGGAGCTTAGTGGTTTAGCTAACTTTATTCACCACCCAGGAGATCATTGAGGACGTGGATATGTTAAAATGTGTATACTGATAATGATGAAAACCAAAAATAAAATATGCCTTGTTCTCATTTTAATTTTCTTCCTATAGTCTAAAACAGTTTTGTGGTATTTTATTTGTCTTTAGCAATGCATTAAACTAGAAGTTGTACTTAGGAGTTGAGATTCTATTAGTGTCTCAGTCAGTTACTCAGCACCATTTATGTCACCGCTTTGTTCTTTTTTTTTTTTTTTCCCATTTATTTATTTTATTGCATTTTAGGTTTTGGGGTACATGTGAAGAACATGCAAAATTGTTGCATAGGAACACACGTGGCAGTGTGATTTGCTGCCTTCCTCCCCATCACCTACATCTGGCATTTCTCCCCTTGCTATCTCTCCCCAGCTTCCCACCCCCCACCCTCCCTCCCCTATTTCCCCCCAACTGACCCCAGTGTGTAGTGCTCCCCTCCCTGTGTCCATGTGTTCTCATTGTTCAACACCCGCCTATGAGTGAGAACATGATTACCGCTTTGTTCTTAGGGAACTTCTAGTAAGGGAAGACCATAGTAGTTTTTCATTAACTAAAAGATAAATGAGATCATACTTATGAAATGCTTTGAAGTATTATAAGAAAGTGTTTATAAAGGTAAATTAAACAGTTGGAATGGGATAATAATTATATTGACTAACATGTAGTTTTAATGCAGGTAACAGAACCCTGTAGCATTTGCTATGTTTTTATACTAGTATGTTGATTTCTAAAGGATTTTCTATTATTTATGTGGTTCCCATTGGGCCACTTCTTGAAATTTTCTCACCTTTGCATGAAAAGGACTTTGACTGTTAAGGTGCTGTTGGTATGTATATTTTAACACTGATTTTATGTGTTTAGCCTAGTTCTACAAATTAGTGCCAGTCTACTTAATGGCAGAAACCATATCATAAAACTGGTACTCCCTCATAGGACCTAATTCAGTCTTTTGCCTTTAAAAAGTAAGCATTTAAGGCTGGACATGGTGGCTCATGCCTATAATCCCAGCACTTTGGGAGTCCAAGGTGGGTGGATCACCTGAAGTCGGGAGTTTGAGACCAGGCTGACCAATATGGTGGAACCACATTTCTACTAAAAATACAGAAATTAGCCAGGCATAATGGCATGCACCTGTAGTCCCAGCTACTCAGGAGGCTGAGACAGGAGAATTGCTTGAACCTGGGAGGGGGAGGTTGCAGTGAGCTGAGATCACATGACTGTACTCCAGCCTGGGCAACAGAGCAAGACTCTGTCTCAAAAATAAATAAATAAATGCAAATTAAAACTTTAAAAAGTAAGCATTTAGGCCGGGCGCGGTGGCTCACGCCTGTAATCCCAGTACTTTGGGAGGCCGAGGCAGGTGGATCACGAGGTCAAGAGATCGAGACCATCCTGGTCAACATGGTGAAACCCCGTCTCTACTAAAACTACAAAAAATTAGCTGGGCATGGTGGCACGTGCCTGTA